TATATATATGAATGCATCTACCTTCCTTGGTTTCTTCTGGGTATTTAGAGCTTGATGCTTTTTCAGAGATGATTACAGGATAGGAAGCTAAAACTCTGGGTAAGTCATCTTAAGAGAAATCTTGAGAGAGAACCACAAGCTAGTCCTCTACCCCTGGATTGTTGGCCCTCAGAAATGGTGTAACATTGAGCATCTTCTATCTGAATTGGGGGCTAATTTGTACCCAGAAATCTATAACCAATCTTGGAGAAGCGATGGACACTAGAGATTCCATAGAGGGAGCATCCACAGAAGTCATCCGGGACAGAAAGTAACAATAAAGAAACATAGCAAAGCCACAATGTAGAGAGTCAGAGCTCATATCATATGCCTTAACTGTCCTTCTGAAATCTCAACAAAAAGTCCACTTTGGAGTCTATGAAAATTTAAGGAGCATCCACTTACCGTAGATTCATATTTCTGATTACAAATGGAAAGTCATGCCACAGTATACCAGAATCATACTACTGAAGGCCTACATCCTCTGTAATGCACAGGGTAGAAGGTGTGTGAATGGCTCTATGCTGTGGGCAACGTGAATTCTGATGAGCTTATATGAACACTATGGGGTTTTGACAGACTTAAATAAAGGTGGTTCTGGACTTCTCCTAGGGATGTGGAACTTACCTTCACCTCGAGTATATAGAACAGATAAAATTTTCTTTTTTTATTAAATAAAAATTTTCATACAATATATTTGACCATGTTTTACCCCTCCTCCAATTCCTCCCAGTTCCTCCCCACCTCCATACCCACCCAACTTCATTCATTTTCTCTTTCTTTCAAAACAATCCTTCAAACAAGAAAGAAAAAACCCCAAGAAACATAAAAACCCACAAAACACAAATCAATGCAAATAAGCAAATGATTATTACTAATAAGAGAAAAAAATGCCAAAACAAAGCAAATGAAATGTAAGGTCCATAAAAAATACCATTGAATCCATTTTGTATTGGCCAGATACTCCTGGGCACGGGACTACCCTGGAGTGTTGTTAATATACTCAGAGAAATGACAATGGACAAAATGATAGCTTTTTGGTTAGAGTTGGGACTCTGTCCACTTCCCCAGCTAGTGCAGCTAAACTTTTCAGTGGCTGTAAAATGACTTTATAGTAATTGTTTTCTATGAATTCTTGTTTAGTTTGTATAACCTACTTGATTGGCATTATTATCATTTTCATGCTAGAGATGAGGACACAGGGGCATGACATGCTTACATCTTGAGCCATATATGTCTTAGCTGACAGAGCCAAGGCATGAGCTGGCCAGGCTGATGGTAATGCCTGTTCTCTGAACTATGGTGAACATGGTAAGAAGAGATTATTGCTCCCTGGTAGCTTGTCACTTTTAGCTGTCAGTACATTTGGAGGTAGAGGTGTGTCCTTACTTACACAGAACTCACAATTGTCTGAGGGTGATTCCAGGATTCAAGATAAAGGATCCAAAAAGTCAGCTTTACTGAATATGCCACCCAAATAATCTACTAAAAGAAAAGAGTAATTATTTCTTTTTTAAAACAAAACAAAACATGGATATACATGGTTTTCTTGACAATGTCCAAGTTTGTAGTACCTCATCGAAGATTGTCCATGTGATCCTTGCATGTCCTCCCCCAATGCTCTTGGCTTTTTGATGGAATGCTTTAATTTGCTCCTCAAGGAGCCCAGTTGCGCCACCGTTTTCTGTTATTTATGCCACATGCTGTCCACTTCCTTGCACTATTTTATTTCATAAAGCATTTTGGATACCAGTTTATATGAAAGATGTTATTTGAAATCAAGTTATATTGCAAGCTACATTATCATAATTTCCGTCTTGCTTCAGTCTTGCATCTTATACAGTTGCTTGATGTTTGATGCAGTGTTGAAATTTAAATGGAAAGAGTATCCAGAATTGATGCTCATGTATTACTTATTTAATCTGCTGTTGGAGCAATCCACCGTTGAGCTCGGTTTGCAGTATATTCCACGGCCTGCACTGACATCCATCTTACTTGTTTCATGGGGGGGGGGGGAGCCTGCACTGTGTGTGTAGTTACAAGTTCAGCACAAGCAGGAAGCGGTTTGGCTTCTAGGACGGCATCACAGGGTCTAGCGCTGCAGTTATGAATTGTTGATATTAGCCGGTTCAGCCATTCATAGACTCATTGTTTTGGTAGGGTTCTGCTGTCTGTCCATTCATTTGCCATTTACTTATGCTGGATCACTTTAATACTTTTGGATACAAAGAGAAAGGAAAAGATTATTTGAGTGATCTTGTTGGAGATGTAACAGGACAGAAGGAAACATTACTTTGAAGACAAAGCTGACAGTGGTAGCTGAATTTGGGGCATGGTATGGGTTTGTGTACTTACATTTATTGACTTTCAAGTATTTTCCTAGGAGAGCTGCATTGACCATAATACAACAGATGATCTCAGTGCCATTATCATCCAGCAAAATCTCACTCTCATATGGGTTTAGCATGAAAGAGACATGTTAATAACAGGTGACCTAGGAAACCTTGCTTCTCTGTTACAATCTCTGAGTCTCTGAACACATCATGCAGTTTAAGGCTTAAAGTTACCTCCTGTCTCAGCTTCCAGAGCATTCTGTGTCTGGTTGTGCTTTGGCAGTGGGTGTGGTACAATATGCCCCAAACAAGACCATATACTTGTTGAGAAGAGACAGTTCCTGCTTCATGATATTGGTCTTCCTACTATATTTGGTACAGCTTCCTGTGGAAATTATGTATTGTAAAGTGGTTTAATAACTATTTAGTAAAGGACTATATTTTCCCTAAACATTATTAGAAAATTATATAACTGTCATTATATTATCAAGCCACTATAATATTATCGATAAATAAGCAACAATTAATTCTTCTAGTCATACTTGACATTAAGGCGGATAGAACTATAAAAGATTTAGAACACTTCTAATCCAACCTAGATTTCAAAGGAAGGCTATGGGTTAGAGACATTAAGGGGGAGTCTGGATTTCACAATTATTATTAATAGGTGAAGAAGAAACAGTTTTCCATTTTTGAGTTAAGATATTTTGATAGTTTCTCTGAATATCAAATGAGATGATGAATTAAAAAATATTCCATACAATTTTAACTACTCCTTTTGTGTTAATTCAGGAAACTCTCTGTGTCTCTGTCTGTCTTTGTGTGTGTCTCTTTCCTTCTCTGTGTCTCTCTGTTCTTTCTCTGTCTCTGTTTGTCTCTCTCTCTCTTTGTCTCTCACACATTACACATACATACACACAAAGTGCCAACTCCAAGTTCTATTATTTATTTATTTTATTTTATTATTTTTTCCTTTTATTGAAAATAGGTTCTTTATCTCATACCATACACCCTGATTATGGTTTTCTCTCCTTTTACTCCTCCTAGTTCCTTTCAACCCACCTCCCATCCAGATCTACTCCCGTTCTGTCTGTTATTAGAAAACAAACAGGCTTCTGATAGTAAAATATAACAAAATAAAATGTAATAATATAAAATCAAAAAACGATCACATCCAAGTTGGACAAGACAAATCAACAAGAAAAAAAGAACCCAAGAGAAGGCACAAGAATCAGAGACCCGCTCACTTGCACACTCACGAATCCATGAAAACACAAAACTGGAAGTCACAACATATGCAGAGGACCCAGTGCAGAACCGAATAGGCCATCTGTGCACCGCTTTAGTCTCTGGGATCTCATGAGTTTTGTTCATGTTGGTTTAGAGAAACTTGTTTCCATGGTGTCCTCCATCCCCTCTGACTCTTACGCTCTTTCTACCTCTTCTTCTGCAGGCTCCCTGAGTTCTGCGGGGAGGGATTTGGTGGAGACATCCCATTTAGGGCTGAGTGTTCCAAGGTCTCTCATTATCTGCATCGTGTCTGTGTTTGCTCCCATCTGCAGACAAAGGGAATATTTGTGATTATGGCTGAACAAGGCACTGATCTCTGGGTAGCAGAAAGTCATCAGGAGTCATTTTATTGCTGTTTCTAAAATTATTAGTATTAATAACAGTAGTATGTGCTTTTATTTTAGGTCCCCGGACTAAATAGTCTCAGGTTTCTGGTCATCTAAACCATATTGGGTATGGGTTCCATCTTGTGGAGTGGACATTAAGTTAAATCAGATATTGGTTGGTGACTCCCAAAAGCTTTGTACCCCATTTGCACTAGCATATCTTGCGGGCAGGACAGATTGTAGTTCAGAGGGTCTGTGGCTGGCTTGGTGTTTGCATTTCTCTTTTGATAGTGCAGAGCATCTTCCTGTACCAAGAACACAGGGGCGACGGCTCTCTGTTTGCCCCAACTCAACTTCCCTATGTTCAATGTGCTGTGTGTTATCTTCAGCAATGGGACCTTGCTGTCAGTTTGTGGAGATTAGGGGTTCTGTTTTCCAGTTGATATCAGAATGAGGTTTCCACAGGCAGTTCCATCGTCGTTGGCTGTCAGGAGCTACCTGCCAGGTAGATCGCAGCTTTTCTTGCAGCACAGGCAGCATATCCCTTCCCACTTTGGTTGGTGCTAATTTGAGGTACAGGAATTAGAGCTGAAATTTTGAAAAGGAGAACTGACTTCAAGGCTCTGCCACCCAGTAGCTGGCCCTGTTGCCGAGACGTAGAACAGGCCAGAGCCGCTTAACTTTGTGTCGATCAAACAGGACAAGGCACGTGGGAACATTTTTGTCAGGGAGCTATGTATATTTCATGATTGGCGTCACGTGCCTCTTCTGGGTAAGCTTATGTTGAACCTCTCACATCAGGAAGAAAGGCATTTCTCATGCAAATGCTGTGTTAAATCACAGGAGTAGCTAGCCGAGTGTAAGACTTTAAGAAAATAGCATCCACTTTAAGTATTTCTTTTATTTTAAATGGTGTGTAAATGTGTGTGGGTTTGTGTGTGTGAAGGCAGGTGCCCACAGAGGCCAGGGCTTTTAGACTCCCTGGAACCGGAGCTGCAGGTGGTTGTGAGGTGCTGAGTACCAAACTCAGGTCCTCTGGAAGAGCAGACCTTGAGCCTAACCTCTGAGCCATCTCTCCAGCCCCAACATTAATTATTATTTTTACAAGTATGATGGTCGTTTCATAACACCAATCCACCCCCCAAGTTCTATATTTACTCCCCCATTTTTCTCCCAAAGGCCATGCATGTGTATGGGTCATCAATGCCGTTTATTTCCTGTCTCTGGGCCCTCCCTTCCTACCTTTCTCCTTTCCTTCCACATGCACCACCCGTATGAAATCTCAGAAATAAATTCTGAATTAAGAGAAACTTCGTCAGGGGGTCTTCAGTTGCCCCCCAGGGAAAGGTCGACCCTTCACTGCCTGGGCTTCCCTTTAAGGACATTTCTATAAAAGAAAAATGGTCCTGAATCATAACTCTCACTCTGTCACAGTTTACTCGGCTCCTTCTGCCGAAAAACCTATTCAGAAAGAATGGCAAATAGGCCCCTAATAAGAGAAATTCAGCGCGCATTAAAACACTAGACTACCAGATGGTGGAGTTTAAGCGTTACTCAACTACTGTTTATCCTACCCAGTGCTCATTTTAAATTCAGCATTTTTGAGAATTATTCATGGAGCCACTGTTGTATTTCATGCAGATAACAAGCGAGGTTTGGAGTGAATTACCAGAATGCACCCACAATTTCTAGACTCCCCTGGTTATTATTGTTAATGTGGATCACAACTACTAGTTAAAGTTGAGGGGTTTGCGAAACAAATCCACATCAAGCAATCACGGACAACAACCGGCTCAGCAAATCACTCACATTGATAGGGTAGAAGAACCCATCAATGGGTACAAGGCCCCAGCTGCCAAGCACACAACTGTTTGCTGAATGTGACACTTCCTCTGTGGCCGTCTGCCTCCCATCCCCGAGTAGGAAATCTTCCTTGCTTTTCTCCAGTGTCTGTGGTGTAACTTCTAAGTGAATGAGAAAACCAATTTCGTCTTCCACACCTTCCCATATGACTCATTGGGAAATCAACAAAGCCATCTGTAAGCACAGCACAACCCTTGTGCAAAGTCATGAAGCTCAAAGTCATGATCACTGTATCGTGGCACATGGAGATGGCTGAGCTCCACCAGACCAGGGTCTCTAACACACATCTGTATTTCAGTCACATTTATAGAGAAATCGAGGCTCTCCTGCTTCTAGTCATTAAGAGGAATATTAGGAGACCTTTTAAAAGCGCAACATCCATTCTGTTGCTAACAGTGAATGTTTTGACAGCTTGAAACGCTTTCACTCCACGTTGAAAGTGAATCGGAATGAAAAGGGTTGAATTCAATGTGTCACATCCTCGGTGCCTGAAAAGGCTTTTATGCGGAGGAAAAGGGGGGCTTACAAATCTCCTGCTCATTTTGTTCTTGAACTTTCCCAATTGTGACAGCAATAGAAGTCAGAGACTTGGCAATCACCCTCCAACTTAGTACTGCTTCCTACCATGGACCACTTGCTGTGTGCAAGGGTACTGACCTGGGAGCTTGCCTTCATTTCCCCTGAGGTCCTGCAATGACCCTACAGGGAACCCCTCGTCCACACCCGAGGAAACACTTCCAAAAAGTTAGCAGCACAGACCAGAATCACAACTTGACACTACCTGGTAATGGAGGCTTACTATGCTTTCCCGAGTGCAGCAAGCCGTCCCCTTGGGTGTGGAAGATGTGAAACCCTATGAGGAAGTTGATAGTCACACTTTAAATTGATATCCCAGAGATGAAACCGCAGAGCATTTTTTTCAAGCTGCCCAATACAAAGTGCATCTTGGCATACATCTTTCTGCCCACACCTCTTACAGTTTGTGAACTCCTCCACAACACCTTACAGCAATGGTTCCCAACTTTCCTAATGCCGTGCTTCTTTTCACAGGTCCTCATGTGATAGTGAACCTCAGCCGTAAAATTACTCCACTGCTATCTCATAACTGTAGTTTTGCCACTGTTATGAATTATAATGTAAATATGTTATACAGGTTATCTGACACGGGACCCCAGTGGGGACCATGACCCACAGGCTGCGAATCTATGCCTTGCAGGGATCATGCTTCATGTAATAAATGAAATGAACTAATAAATGATCCAAGATCTTCCTCTGTATGCTGTGAATATGTTTTATTACCATTGGTTAACAAAGAAGCTACTTTGGCCTATGGCAGGGAAGAATATAGCTAGGTGAGAAGTCCAAACAAAGATACAGAGAGAAAGAAGGCGGGGTCAGAGAGATGCCATGTAGCTGCAAAGGGAGACAGATGCCAGAATCTTATGGGTAAGCCACAACTTCATGTTGATACATAGATTAATATAAATGTGTTAATTTAAGATGTAAGAGCTATCTAGGCATATGCCTAAGCTATTGGCCAAACAGTGTTATAATTAATACAGTTTTGTGTGATTATTTGGGTATGAACATCTGGAAACAAATGAGCAGTCTCTGTTTACAGATGAATACTAAAACATTTCTGGGGGAAAGACAGCAAATGCCTATGGCCTCTCACTGAAAGTCTTCTTAAGTTAAAGAAATTGTCTCCAAGCCTAAAGTTATTCATTTGTGAAGGAAACCGTTACAAAGCCTCATCATGTCACGTGGCGATTCTTCATGGATGTGTCTCATCTTCCTGTGTGTGAGGAGAGCAGAGACCTGATTGCCTCTGTCCTTTGTGGGAAAGAGCCTTGTAGTTTGGTGACAATATCTCCCTCTGGAAGAAGTGGTAGGGTGTTTACTATCCATTTTACAAGATTCAGCTCTCCTGAATTTGAATGAGTCTCCTGTAATGTAACCCACTCTTTGTATGCACATTACATCTCTCCTTGGATTCGCTGTGGTAACTAAAGCTTGGAGAAGTGGTTTAAGAAACTGCTTGTGCTCCGGTTCCTCCTATTTCAGTGAGTAATAATGTCCCTTGTCTTGGGCCCAAGAGTCTTTTGTCTTCTTCTAGCATCCATAAAAAGAATAAATTGCAAGTAGGGCAAAATATTAAATCTGCCACAATCTCTGATTTTTCATATGGCTACAGCAATTAAATGTCAAAACACAACTTAGTGACTAGCCCATTGAAAACATTGAATATCTGTGAGCTTTTAATACTATTAGTGTCCAAAATTGGTTTTCATTATTAATATGGTATTTTGGTATTAGGCATGCATTAACTTTAGATGTGTAGATTGGCTTTTTTTACCAAGTGATAATTTAACAGAGGTATTCTTTTGAGTATATCTCCTTGTCAGTTCAGGTGGCATTTTTGGAGAGTCTAATAAAGTCTCTAAAGGTTGGGGTCATGAAATATACATGATAGCCCCTGCTTGCAATAGCAGCACTCAGAAGGCAGAGGCAAAAGGACCTCTGCACACTCCAGACAGGTAGGTTTTTCTAGCAAGTGGTTATTGAGGAATACACAGTGAGTTCTTGTCCCCACAAACAAAAAGTAAGCCTCAAATCATCAAAGATTGGTATTTCTGAATATCTTGGTTGTGGCTACGGCAAATGATAAGTAAACACTCCCAAATGTCTTATGGTGTAACTTGAACGCAGATTCTATCTTACAATTCAGTGTTGAGGGAAAAAAAAAATTAAACCAATCAAATAATTGGCATTCAGCTCTCTGCCAAAACTTAATGACTCAAAAACCCCAAAGCCTATAGTTCTTTATGTACTTGATCTGAGGAACACTGCAGAGAGGATTTTGAGCCATCTGTGAGCCATATAACTTACTGATACAGAAATACAAATGATAATGTGGCTCTGATAAGTGTGGGATCCGTCTGGAACCCCGTCTGCTTCTCTTTGCGTCTCACCCATTTATTTCAGCTCTGCTCTCAAGTTGCTGAAAATGAGAGGCTTTCTTGCTATGAATGTCAAACTGTGCCCTTTTGAGGGTGTTTTGGCTTCTACATACCCTG